GAAGCTGATGCAAAGGCAACCTATATGTCCTTGCTGGGTCTCCTGGTTGTTTACTCCATGTCCCTCCTGTTAGAACAAAGGTGACATGGGCCAGGACCCTGCAGTAAGTCAGTGCCTCAGTTGTAAATATGCAGCTGGTTGCTCTGTTGTTTGGCTCAGATCCACTGTGCTCCCCGTGGCCCTTGTTGTAAGGAAGCCAAGTCATTAAGTGATGAACCAGCAAATTCTGTTCTGTCCCACTTTCCAAATCCTCTGTTATTTGCTCACTGCTTTCCTGTCTTCTCCTAAACTCCCACTCTGTCAACGTGCTCAGCAAATAGAGGGTGTTGGAAATCGCCAGGGGAAAGTTCTTCCAGGGGAAAATGATGATTAATCAAAACCAAAATGTTCCCTAGTACTGAGTAGATCTAGATGAAACATTCAACAGAAACCTGCCTGCTTTTTCAGCTAGCTCATCACCAGTCTCCTGTGGCTCCTCACCTGGGGAGCTGGCAGGAGCCTCTGCTTCCAGGGCTCCTCAGACAGCTCTGAGGGCATCCCTTGGCCCAGAGTCAGCCAGGCCAGGAAGCCAAATGAATAGGGAGTCAGGCAGCCCCTGGAGCAAGTAGTTAAATTCTGGCTTGGTTCTCCCCAAAGGGAATGTTTCCTCCTTGAGAAAAATTTCAAATTTTTCACCGTCTGTCTTTGCTCAGGACAAAAGAGTTTTGTTTTGTTCTGTTCAAAACAATTTCAAATTTTTCCAAGAAAGGGAGACTGTTTTTCAGCCACTTCCACAAATAGTCTATGCTTAATGCCAGCCAGGACACAGCTTCTTTCCCCCACACATGAAAGTTCAGGCTTGTCAATGAGACCCTAAAAGCCCCACCATGGTGTGGAAAAGGGGTCCCACAAGCTTTATCCAGAGACATACCTCAATCCTGCCCTGCAGTCCCCCTTCTAGTCCAGCCCTGGGCTCCCCACATAACTCAGATGATGCCCCTCAGTCCTGCCCGGCAGCCCGCTGTTCATACATTCTAAGGCCAGAAGGGACAATTGTGATCACCTGTTCTGACTTCATGTCTAACACAGGTTGTAGATGATTTTTTTGAACTAGTGCATGTCTTTTAAAAAATCCAATCTTGATTTAAACATTGCTCCTGATGGAGAATCCACTGTGACCGTGGGAAAATTGTTTTGGTCATTAATTACCCTCACTGTTAAAAATGTAGACCTTATTTCCAGTCTAAATTTGTCTAGCTCAGTGCTTCTCAAATTGTGGGTAGGGACACCAAAGTGGGTCGTGACACTGTTTTAATGGGGTCACCAGGGCTGGCGTTAGGCTTGCTGGGGCCTGGGGCTGAAGCCTTAGCTCCACAGCCTGGGGCTGAAGCTGAATGCCAAGCCCCACTACCTGGGCCAAAGCCCAAGGGCTTCAGCCCTTGGCAGCGGGTCTTGGGCTTCAGCTTCAGCCCAGGGTAGGGTTGGCAACTTTCTACTTCACACAAAACTGAACACCCTTGCCCTGCCCCATCCCTCCTCTGAGGCCCCACCTCTGGAGTGCCTCTTCTCTGAGGCTCCAGGCTGGGGATAGAGCCGAGGGGTTTGAACTATTGGAGGTGGCTCTGGGCTGGGGCAGGGGGGTTGGGTGTGGGGGTTCGGGCTCTGGTTGGAGGTGCTGGCTCTATTGTGGGGCCAAGGATGAGAGATTTGGGGTGCAGGAGGGGCCTGGGGCAGGGGGTTGGGGTGCAGGAAGGGTGAGGGCTCCAGCAGGGGATGCGGGCTTCAGTGTAAGGCCATGGATGAGGGGTTTGGGGTGCAGGAGGGGGCTCAGGGCTGGGGCTGAGAGGTTGCAGGGTGGGGGGTAAGGGCTCCATCTGGGGGTGTGGGCTGTGGGGTGGACCTGGGGATGAGGGGTTTGGGGTGCAGGAAGGGGCTCAGGGCTGGGGCTGAGAGGTTGAGGGGGGGTGAGGGCTCCGTCTGGGGGTGTGGGCTCGGGTGGGCCTGGGGATGAGGGGTTTGGGGTGCAGGAGGGGACCCCAGGCTGGGATCGAGGGGTTCGGAGGGGGATCAGGGCTTGGGCAGGGGGTTGGGGCACAGAAGGGGGCCAGAGATACAAGCTCCGGTGGTGCTTACCTCAGGCAGCTCCCGGAAGCAGCATCATGTCCCTTCTCCGGCTCCTATGCGGAGGCACGGCCAGGTGGCTCTGCACGCTTCCCAGTCCAGAGGCACCACTCCTGCAGCTCCCATCAGTCATGGTTCATGGCCAATGGGAGCTGCGGAACCGGTGCTTGGGGCAGGAGCAGTGTGTAGAGCCCCCTGGCTGCCCCTATGTGTAGGAACTGGAGAGGGGGCGTGCCGCTGCTTCCGGGAGCCGCGCAGAGCCATGGCAGGCAGGGAGCCTGCCTTAGCCCGGCTGCACCACTGACCAGACTTTTAATGGCCTGGTTAGCAATGCTGACCGGAGCTGCTAGGGTCCCTTTTCGACTGGGCGTTCCAGTCAAAAACCAGACACCTGGCAACCCTAGCCCTGGGCACCGAGGCTCAGGGTACAGGCCCTCCACATGGGTCTGAAGCCTGCGGCTGAAGCCCTTGGGCTTCGACTTTGGCCTTCCTGCCCAGAGGCAGGGCTCGGGCGGGCTCAGGCTTCGGTCCCCCCTGCTGGGGTCATGTAGTAATTTTGTTGTCAGCAGTGGGTTGTGGTACAATGAATTTTGAGAACCCCGGTTTAGCTTCAACTTCTAGCCATTAGATCTTGTTAAGAGCCCATTATCAAATATTTGTTTCCCATGTACAAACTTATATTGGGTTCAAGTCACCCCTTAACCTTCTCTTTGTTAGACTCAAGGAGTTCAATCTATTTATCTTATCACTAAATCATGTTTTCTAATCCTTTAATCATTCTCAAGGCTCTTCCCTGAACCCTCTCCAGTTTATCAGTACCCTGCTTGCATTGTAGACACCAGAACAGGACACAGTATTCCAGCAGTGGTTGCACCAGTGCCAGATGCATTCCTGGACTCCCCCCACAGCTCTGCCAATACCTTTCATCCTTCCCTGCTGTCCCCCCCTCCACTCCAGACCTCTCTTAAGACCGTTATTTCCCAGAGCCTTCTTGATCCCCGAATTCTCAGACATTATGAACTGACAGCTGGGGCATTAAAAATTTCCTTTGAGCATAAAGGGAGGGACAGTATGAAGGGGACTGTGCAGGGGATATTAACTCACTGTCCTGTTCATTGACAGGACCCTCTGAATCCGTGGTCCAAGGAGTTTTAAAGTACTATCTCTTCACATGTTTTCACTTCCCACTCCTGGACCCACAGAGAGGTGAAGGCTGGGTTATCACCCACAGCCAATTGCATAACTTTTCCAACTGTTTGTCTTTTCCAACTGTTTGTACTGGAAGTGACGAGAGCTGGGCCCATGTGGATCTGGGATTACAGCTGAGTGGCATTTTTTTACAAAAGTCTCTTTTTTTGGCAGCAAAAATGCAGCTTGGGCAACAGCAAAACATTTTGCAAATTAGTTTGGATTTTTTTGGGGGGAAAACCTTAAACCAAATGACAAAAAAAAGAAAATGTTTTGTTTTGAAATTTTCCACTAACGTGTTATTGGATTTTTTGGATTTGTTTTGGTTGGTGCGGGGGGAGGGTTAGGGCTTTTCAAAATTTCCTTTAATTTATTTTTAAAATACTTAAAAACATTAAAAAAGACTCAACATAAAAATGAAATGTTTTCTTTCAGGGTGAATGAAATGTTTCATTTGAGCCAAAACAATTTTTTTCAACCTTTCACTTCAGTAAATGTTTAGAAAACTTTTGGTTGTCAGGAACTGAAAAATTACTCATTCTCCCAGGTCTGCTGGGGATCTCAATAGGATCCATCCTTCCCTGACTAAGGCTTCCCCAGTATTTCAAATCTCCGTTTTGTGGAAGTAGGGCAGGGGCTGCCCACACTCCCTGAATGATCTTAATTCCCTAATGGGGTAAGGGATTAATCTTCAGAATGTCTGACTTCTATTTTCCCATATGCCCCCCAAAGGGCTTCTTCCTTTGCCTTTCTATAGCACTTCCCATCAGAAGATCCTAAACCACTTGACAACCATTAGTCAGTTGAGCCCAACACACCCCTGCAAGGTGGGTCAGGATCATTACCTCCATTTTACTGATGGGTAAACTGAGGCACAGAGAGGGGTGTGGACGTGCCCAAAGTCACACAGTGAATCGGTGGCAGGGCTGAGAAATGAACCCACTTCTCTCAACTTTCTCTCACAAGACTTTTCTTCCTCTGTTTAGCGCCCCAGTGTGCCAATCTTACTGTGCTGCAAAGAGACCATTCACAACTAGCACCAGCTTCCTGGGGAGCTAAGGAAGCAGTCCCGCTCCCTCGAACAACTGAGGGCACTGATATGCCTAGAGCTAGTGCTGTGGACACGAGCAAGTGTGCTCTATGCACTCCTAACAAGGGCAGTGGCACAAACACACCCCTACAGGGGCAGCTCCACTCATTCAGCCAGCAAAGGGCACTTTTATCCCCATGGCCAGCTCTGACACATGCCATGCAGCCAGGGGCAATGGTACACAAAATGGTCTCTCACTAGCATCCCCTGTGATGTGTACCAAATATTACTGGAAGTAGCTGGCTATCATACCAGTGGAATACAGCATACAAACAGGAAAGGTTTCTCTGGGAACACTGGGCAGGATTTGGGGAGTTTGTTCCAGTCCCCACAGAATGCTGGACTGGCCCAGTAATGAGCTAAAGGGCTTCTCCAACCACCGCAGAGTGCTGCTGGAGTGATACAAAGAGGGGATGGGGGTGAATGGTTCGGACACAGGACAGTGTCTCACATGAACACCTCCAATAAATACCCTTCCCCCCCCCCCCCCAGTTTGTCAGGGTCTGGCCAGGGACAGTCTCTGTGCCATGAGTCAGAGCTGTTGGCTCTGGCTCCTCCTCACGTACCTCTCTCCATTTCCCAGATGGTCCTGGCCCCCTGCCCTTATCTTGCCCCTCCCGGGGGCTGTTTGCAGAGAGAGGTATAAAGGGGCGGACCCAGCGGACAGCCAGGGTGCAGGGAGCCAGCGGACAAGGCTGTGTGTCTGCCTCACTCACCATCCTCGCTCTGCACCATGGGCAAGGACAGGCTGCCCGGAGGCCCGAACATCTTCCTCCTGCTCCTCTTCCTCCTCCCTGGAGACACGTCACCCACCACCGAACCGTAAGCTGCACACGCAGAGGGGGCTCGTGCTGTCTTCTCTTTTCTTTCCTTCATCCCCCTCACAGTGCTGCCAATGCCACTCAGACCTGCCCTGCAGCCCCACTCGCTATTCCACTCCAGGGCTCCCCACACAGCTCTCTCTACCTGTATCCCTACCTAGACATCTTCAGGAGTTTGTCTCTCCCTGCGGCTGCATGGGCAATATGTCCTCTGCCTTGTGGTACCTTTTGTGGATGGGCCCCAGTTTCCTTGCCTGTGAGGGAGAGCTCAGAAAAGTGTTTCTCTTTTCTCTTCTTCTTTAAAGCCAGTTTGCTTCCCTTGGCAGCCACAGACTGTGCTTGTTCCCAAAGAGAGTCAGTGACCTAGATTCCTGTCTGTCAGCACAGACCCTGGCTGTGGCACATTCTGCCGGAATATCCACCTGGGGCACTGCAAACTAGCAACTTGGCTGCAACCTCGCCTTCATTGAGGGGCCTGAAGAGGGGGTATAGCCAGTATAGCCAGCTGGGAGGACTCAGGGTATCCCTTTGGCAGTGTCGACTGGCAGGGACTTCCCCTGGAGCCCAGTATAGATTAGAGCGTTTACCCTCCAGTGCTCAATCCCTTCTCCTGATGTAGCATCCCTCCGCACTAGTGTACATCAGCAGGTGCAATTTATGCTGCCTTGATTCAGCGGGGATGGATCTAGTCCCAAAACTCCGATGTCAGATCTCTTAACCCAAGGAATGCCATTTTAGAATTGTTTGTTTGTGTCGCGGCAGTGCCTATGCACCCCAGTTATGGATCAGGGCTCCCACTGTGCTAGGCTTTATACAAATACAGAACAGGGAGACAATTTACAGCTCGCTGGAAGCTGGAATTGCCATGCCACTGGAAAGCCTGACATTTTTAAGTTTGTTTTCATTCCAAATCGGAACGTGCAGTTTAAATTTTGAGAGAAAGGAAATTCCAGAAAATTTTGATTCAGAAACATAGAAATGTTTCATTTTGATAATGTCACAACATTTTGTTATGATAATATTGAATAATTATAATGTATATAAATATTATACTACAGCAGAATATTAAAGGAAAAATGAAACATTTTGATGTTATTGAAATGAGAGAGTCAAAACAATTTGTTTTATCATTTTTCTGTCAGGCCCTTGGGCAAACTTGACATGTTCCCACAAACTGGTTCCATTTTGACTAAACTACACTTTCTGACAGAAAACAGTTTCATCAAGACTTTTTACACCCAGCTCTGTTCCATTCTGAGCATGTAGCTTGTGTCTGGTCAGATATGTTGTCTGCGTCCTGCACCTTTAAATGGAGAGAAGACCCCTCTGTGCTGCAGAAGTCGCTGCCATTTTGTGTTTGGTGGCATCCTCCTGCACAGGAGGGGCCCCGCTCTTCTCTCTCCATCTGTCTTACCGAGACCTGCCTTGCGTCAAGTCTCATTCTCTCAGTCTAAACTGAAGTCCGTGCAGGCTGAGAGGGCAAGGGAAGAACAGAATGTGAGGCACAGTCACAAGTTTGATTCTGCTTCATGAGGCATTTCATGCTAACTGTTTAATGAAGTAATCGGCATATTAGTGAGTATTTTGCATACATGCTTAGTTTACAGTTGGCATACTCTGCCCCAAGCTGGTGGGGAGGTGGGGTGACCAGACAGCAAGTGTCAAAAATTGGGACAGGGGGTGGAGGGAAATAGGAGCCCATATAAGAAAAATACCCAAAAATCAAGACTGTCCCTATAAAATCGGGACATCTGGTCACCCTATGGGGAGGAGAGGAGGAGGGAAAGGGTAGTGTTCACCAGGAAGCTCAACAAAACCTGGCAGCTTTGGCTAGGGTAGCAGGTGCCCAAGGGTGTCAGATGCGGAGCTGCTGGGGTTATTGTTACTGAGCGGTAGGGCTGCTGGAGCTGGAACTCCTGGGATGCTTTGGGCTGTTCAGGTCACAGTGTCTGGGGAATTGTCCTGGGGGGAGCCTGGGGCCAGTATCAGGTCTCTCACATTCTGTCATCACCTCCAGGCTGCTTGCTCTGAGCCAGCAAGGAGAGAGGAGACACCTGGCTGCCTGCTCAGCAAATGCCACAGCCGCCTGTAGCAGCCAAGGGGCAACTGCAGGAAACTGCCTGCTGCCTTCTTACGGCTCAGCTATTCACTGAGGATCTCATACTGTGCTAATCACTGCAGTACCAGCGAGCCTGCCATTAGAGTGTTACGCAACGTGACTGTCACGTGTTGTTCATTCTGTCATCCTCACCCCAGAGGCAGAAGTGTGCGCAGCGCAGTGCTTAATTTGTAATGAAAGAAATGCCAGGGCTCAAGCAATTAGGTGCCGGGGCTCAAGCAATTTTTTTACATTTGTAACTGATGCAGCAAGCCCAGAGGTGCCAGGGCAATGAACTGCCAAGCCTAGACGCATCGGGGCTCAGCCCTGGCAAGCCCTGGCACAAATTATTAAGCCCTGGAGCAGTGTCTGGTTTTGGTAGTGTGCAGAGTTTTCTGTTCTGATGTGTGAGAATCCAGCTGAGCTGAAGGGACATGTGACAGGCTGCCGAACGGGTGAGTGTCACACACGAGGCAGGACACTTGGCAGCGCTAAACATAGGCCCTGGCTTTCCATGGCCTTGCTCTTTGTATCGCCATTTACAGCAGGGCAAAGAGGATGTAAAATGCTACCAGAGCAGAAGGGCCAATTTCAGGCCCCCTTTGCACTCACTCTGCACCAGGTGTCAGGCGGGGGAGAATCAGCTCCCAGCCTTTATTGGCTGAGATTGAAGATAGAGAGAAAATCACACAGGGCTTGATCCAAAGCCCAGTGAGGGGAATGGAAAGAGTCCTTTTGACTTCCATGGGCTTTGGCTCAGGCCTAACAAAGGGCGAAGAGGAATTTAATCAGAGCCAGGTTAAGGCTACTCCTACCTGACTTTGTCATTTTGAAATCTTGGCTCAGCAAGATGAACAACCTCCTGGCAGAAAGCTGGGTGTCCCAGGGGGCTTCACACTGCTGCATGTCCAGCCTCCCAGCAGTGACGCTCTGCCAGCATCTCTGCTCTGAGTCAGCAGGCTGAACCTATGGACAGTCAAATATCCTTCTGTAGCCCAAATCACTCTGTTGCTGGCGAGGGGCGAGCCAAGCTGGGTAAAGTCCTCATTAACATTTGAACTTAGCGAGCACTTTTCATCCAAAGATCTCCATGCACATGAAGGGGGGGGGGGGAAGCAGCATCTTCAGGAGAAATGGGAAAACTGAGGCACAGAGCAGTGAAGCCCAGTAGCACACAGCAGGTCACTGACAGACCCAGGAATAGCAATGAGTTCTCCAGCCAAAGTCCTGTCACTAGGCCACGCTGCCCCTTTAGCACAATGGCCATTCCCTACATTCAGATGTCATCGCACACAGCCATCCCTACATTTGTGTCTCTCCATTACTGAGGGCAGCTGGTGACACCTAGATCCACAGACAGCTAGAGAGGGGGTTAGATTAAAAGCCCTGATCCACACTCCTCTGTAACTGCCTGCCAGTCTCCATGGAGGTACAACAAGCATTTCATCTGAGCTCCCTCCCCGCTGTTCAGATAATACAGCGAGGGGCTGTGGGATACACAAACATCAATTAACAGCCTGGAACTTTTCAAGTCATCTCCACGTCCTGCTGGGAGCCTGAACAAACAGCCCTTGGACAGCAATCGCTGCTAGCACAGAACTAGTTCCTTCGCTCCAGGTGGTGTCCTAGGTTCCTGGCTGACTGAGCAGACCAGCTAGTATGTTACAAAAACAAAACGAAATTCACCATCCTGTATGTACAAATTACAGTGTGGATGGATGGTCGGGGATTCGGCTGTCACACTAGCCCATGCCCTTTCATCAATACCTTCTCCATTCCCCATCCCCGCCTCTCTGACCTGTGCCCTTCCCCTTCCCAGGCAGTACATGGTGCTAGTGCCCTTTCTGATCCACACCAACGTTCCTGAAAAGGTCTGTATCCAGCTGACCCACCTGAACGAGTCTGTGACGCTGAGCGCCACGCTGGAATACGCAGGGGCGAACAGGAGCCTGATCGCAGACGTGGTGTCGGAGAAGGACGTGTTCAAGTGCATCCCATTCACGGTGAGTCTCTGACTCCCACAGGGTTTATTACCTGAGTCTGTAAGATAGTGACAGCCTGGGACCAACCTCTGCAAGGCCTGACACCATCAGAAATCACAAACGGAGACAGGCTCAGGTAGGAGACATTCACGGAAAACCCCACAGTTCCTGCCGGCAGTGCTGTGGGTGACTCAGAGGAGTGAAGTTCTGGAACAGCCTTCCAAGGGAAGCAGTGGGGGCAAAAGACCTATCTGGCTTTAAGCTTAAACTCGATAAGTTTATGGAGGAGATGGTATGATGGGATAACATGATTCTGGCAATTAACTGATCTTTAACTATTCATGGTAAATAGACCCAATGGCCTGTGATGGGATGTTAGACGGGGTGGGATCTGAGTTACTACAGAGAATTCTTTTCTGGGTATCTGGCTGGTGAATATTGCCCACATGCTCAGGGTTCAGCTGATCGCCATACTTGGGGTCGGGAAGGAATTTTTCTCCAGGGCAGGTTGGAAGAGGCCCTGGGGGTTTTTTGCCTTCTTCTGCAGCATGGGGAACGGGTCAGTTGCTGGAGGATTCCCTGCACCTTGAAGTCTTTAAACCATGATTTGAGGACTTCAATAGCTCAGACATAGGTGAGAGGTTTATTGCAGGAGTGGGTGGGTGAGATTCTGTGGCCTGCATTGTGCAGGAGGTCAGACTAGATGATCATAACGGACACTTCTGACATTAATGTCTATGAGTCTATGAGACTCATTAGGAGTGATCTTCAGTCGGTGCTGAGCTCAGTGCCCGGCACAATGCTGGGAGAGGTTCTGCTATAGGCTATAGTGTGGCTGGCTTTGTTGGGTGGTTTTCTCTCTGAGTCAGTGCTGATCTTACGGCTGCGGCCTGCCCTCCCGTTTCTCAAGGGGCTCCACAAGCCTCTGAGTGAGACTGGAAAGAAAGCCATGGAAGGAGGAGGTTACAGAACTTCCTCCAGACCATCGACGTCCTTGAGCTCATCTGGTGCCTCTCCCGGGGGCCAGTCCAGGATTTCTCCCTGCAGCTCTCAAGGCTGGCTGCGGGGACAGTAGAAGAAAATGGACCCAGCACAGAAGTAATTAATCAGATGTAGCTTCCCATTTTCCTCCATCACTGGGATCCACAGCTGGGGGCACACGATCACAGTCCATCAATCCCTTTGAGGAAGGAGCATAATGAGGGAAGAGAAATGACCCCCAGTCTTGGCAAGAGGCAGCACAAGGGGTGATGGGCAGAAGGAAAAGCTGAAACTAAGACACTGGGGGAAGTTCTTAAGATATGAGCTACTGGGGTGGAGGAGTCAGAGACTCCTGGTTGGGAGGGGATGGCAGTGGGTGGCAGGCACCGTCTCCTCTGGAGGAGGTGCTGGAGGCCCCATCATGGCAAATATTCTGGCAGCGTAGAGGAGACATTAGTGGGGATGGAGGAGAAGAGTCCTGCAAAACGAGGGTGAGGTGAGACTGGCAGAGCCTGGCTTTCTTTCCCCAGACCCCACAATCTCTGATTCTGGTAGGTATGTGGTGACCTTTTTGTTGGGTTCCATGTACAACTCCAGCCTCCAAAGGCTCAGTGCAGAAGGGGGAGCCTCTAAGGCAGCAGCTCTTTTGCTGTTCTCCAGGTTCCAAAGTCCAGCAGCTCATCAGCAGCGTTTCTCACGGTGCTGGTGAAGGGGCCGACGCTGGAGTTCAGGAGCCGGAAATCGGTGCTGGTCAAGAACTCAGAGAGCCTGGTCTTTGTCCAGACGGACAAACCCATCTACAAACCGGGACAAACAGGTATAGGGAATCGGGTGGGAAATTATATACAGAGCAGGAAATCCTCCCTGCCTCCCCAGAGACCCCACAAGTCATCACCAAGTTAGTACAGCTGGGAGTAAACCTGCCTTCCCACTGCCTCCCCACCAGTCACAAAGCTGGGGGAATGTGGTGCATGCATCTAACCTTGCCATGTGTCCACCGGTCATTGCATCTGGGCCAGGCACACACACAGCAGCTGCCTCATTGACTGATGGTCCCTGGGTGAGCGACTGCAAGCTTGACAGTGAAATTCTCTTCCTCTCTCAATCATGCCCTCTGCAGTTCTATTTCGGATCGTCTCTCTGGACGAAGACTTCCATCCTCGGAATGAGAAGGTAGGTCTGATCGCTGATCAGTTTCCATGGCTGACATGGTGAGCGCTGATATGACCCCTTTAAAGTCCTTTGTGATTCCTGAGGAACTTATTTCTATTGACATCCATCTAGAGCCGTAAAAGTGACTGTGTAAAGCAAGCGATGCCTTCTGACTCCCCACATCTTCTTCATAAGGGTCAGATTCTACCATGATTTACACCCCATTCAACTTCATTGACAGAATGTACATAGGACATAATATGAATCATGCTTTATTATAATGTAAAACTGGCTAATGTCAAAACTTTTTGGCAATTTTATCAAATCATGTTTAATTTAAACATAAGTTGTGCAAATACAAAAAGAAAAACATACAAGTCTACAACAGCAACATCATCTAAAACATATACGACCTTAAAAGGTTAATTAGAACCTAATAAAAACACTCCTCCATGGCCCAATGCTGAAAGGGCAAAAATTGCCAGTGATTTGATTACTACCAGGGATTGAGAAAAAACTAAAAACATTATCCTTTTGAGATGGTGATAAAAATTCTTTTTATATAAAAGAGGTAAAATCAAGCATGTTCTCAGAAGCTGGAAAAATCTACAGTTCAAAAGATAATGCGGTAGATCTTCCATTGCTCCAGAGTTATATGGGCAAAACTGAAGATGTGAAGGAACTTTTCCATATCTATCTGTAAGGACAGCAATTTCCATGGTTTGGCATCTTAATTGAGTATATCCCTTACATAAAATGAGGATTTCATAATGCAGTCAAATACTGTTCAAAAACATGAGCCATCTTCAAAGTAGAAAACCAAAAGACAAACTTTGAACCATGAATCACAGCCAGATCTTCTTGTTAGGTAATATTTGTCATTCTTTGTTTGAGTAGTTGATTAGACTGATTAAAAGATACCGACAATAAGTGAGTCATAGAAAAATCCAGCCTATGTATAATAAATTGGAAGGTCTTATATCATGGCAATATGGAGTGCATAGGTTGTTCCTCCATCTCCTGAAGGCAAAAGTGGGGCAATCTGTTATCTAAAAGAGTACAGATCTTAGACCAAAATTTAAGAAAAGCAATACAAGGTCTACAACTTACAGTAAAACCATCCACCTCAGCACCTAAAAACAAAGAAGGGCTAAAATTCGGGAGAATCGTAAGTCTCCTCAAAAATTTTTTTTGAATGATCTCTAAGGCCGAAATTTGGCCCCTCAATCAAACTTCAGCCTCATAGATCATCTACAACATTATTTTTGCATAAAGATTCTTAGCACTGGGGCAGCTCTGTTCCCAGCATATGGGCAGGTTAAACAGAGCACCCCTTGGCCAGAGCTAAGGGCCTTTTGTTTTTAAGTCTTCATGATAAGGAAACCAGTGGCCTAAATGATGAAACTTTATCCCTAAATAAGTAAAAGCAAAGACTTGTTTTGTTCTTCCCCAAAATCATGACTTTGGGCTTATAATTGAGAACTAGGTCTTGAGAGTTACAATAATGGAAAAAACAAGATAACCACCGGCGGCCTCTTGGATGCTGCGATAATACAACCATGCCATCAGCATATAACAATACTGGAATGGATCTACTCTTATTTTGCAGGGGAGAAAAATCATCTTTCTTTACAACATCACCACCTCATTAATATATACATTAAAAAGGAGAGGCACTGGAAAGCAAACCTGGCATACTCCCCTAGAAATAGGGAAAACAGTACGTTCTCCATTGGCTTTAGTTCTTAACCTCACCATATTGCGCTGGTGTAGAGCCTCCAAAATATGCAAAAGTGTTAGATCGATTCCCATCCTTCTTAATTTTGCCCAACGTTTTTCTTGGTTAATAAAATCAAATGACATCTTTAGATCTATGAAAGCAGCATGTAAACTACTACCATTAACCACACTATATTTATAAATCATGTAGGATAAAATAAAATAATTATCCCACTGTGGCTCTACCAGACCTAAAGCTGGACTGCTCTTCGTGTAGTAAATTAGCCTTTAAAGCCCATATTTCAAGTTTAGAGAGTAAAAATCTGCATTAAATCTTCCCTGCCACATCTAACAGACCAACAGGTCTACATGAAGCAGAATTCTTTCTGTCCCCTTTTTTAAAAATAGGAACTATAATAGTGAACTTCCAGCCAGACAGAATCCATCCGGTATGATTAATGACAGTAAATAATTTAGCCAAATCTGGAGACCACCAATTAGGATTATCCTGAAAAACTTCATCAGGGAGAAAATCTTCTGCTGGATCTTTTTTTCCGTTGTTGGGCTAAAATTAATGAGTGTACTTCACTGTACTGTACTGAAAGCCAGAGTGGTAAATCAAAGAGAGGATTTCTCATTGCATCAACTACGGTAGAATTAGATTTAAAAACTGGTTGAGGGGAATCATTAAAGATCTGGCCAAAATATGCTATCCAAGGTTCATGATTAATATGGGGTTTATCATTCAGAGATTATCTGCCACAACCCATGGCCGCCATCTTCTAAAATGTGGAAGAATTTTTAGTTTTAGCTGCTGCTTCAAACTCCTTCCACAAGGATCTAAGATAGTCTTGTTTTTTCTGATATAATAAATCTTTATATTGTCTTCTGGCAGCTATTAAATTATGAAGTAAATTAGGAGACGGATTGCATCTTACCCTATTAGCTAGACAGGCTAGAGCTGTGTTTTCTTTCACACGGTCTGCATCAAGCCAAGTGTACTTACCTTTGAAAGCATTTTTAGAATAATTAAAAGCAAAATCAATTTGTTTAGAGACAAGTGGTTGCAAGGATTTTACCAGCAACTCATAGGATTCACAAATTTGAGAGGAATTCAAGGACTTAATAATGATGTCTCCGAGAAATCTAACATCAGAGTCTTCCAATCTCCTTGATAATTTGTCAGGAATGGCTGAGCTTTAGTGTTTACAACCACATTGTTCCAAAGGGGTAATTAAGGCATCCTCACCCATGGGTAATAAAAATCTCACTAGAAAGAGCACATCATTTGTAATTACAGAGAAATCCCTACAATGACGAATGACACAGGGATGATAATAATATTATCAATAACACTCCCAGCAGTCAATTAAATTTATGTGAAATGTCCCTACACTTCTTCCATTTACAGGTATCATATTAAACTTATCCAATAATACCTTCAGTTTTTGTCCAGCAATGTTAACCATCTGATCTCCAGAGTTTTAGGGGGGAAGTTCAAAAATCTTCTCAGTGTTTCTTCTCCTCATACTTGGGAAAGAGATTCATCTTGCCCCTGGAGCAGGGAGTGAAAATTGTCCTGTTAGGATCTTTTTGCCAGAGGTGAATAAACTGGAAAGAGTTCAGAGGAGAGCAACAACATTTACAAGAGTTTTCAAAAACCTGATCTATGAGGAAAGGTTGAAAGAATTGGTCAATGTTTAGTCTAGAAAAGAAAAGGCTGAAGGAGGACTACATGATAAATTGCCCACAGTTGGTGGAGCTAAGAACCTCCCTCCATCTTCTGTTACATCTTAAAAATCATAATCCTCTGTTTTTGGCATCCTTTTGGGCTCTCTGAATATAGGAAACAGGATTTCAGGGCAGAAGGAATGAATAGCAGGGCAGATGAATCTGCAGAGGCAAATCATTATTCTGAAAGTAAAGGAGCAGGCTAGTGTAACAAGGAGAGTCTGATCACTTCATCTGATCACAAGGAAACATAAAACACTACCAGAGAAGTGAACAGAATTGCTAAGATTAACTATCAAAAAGAAGCTGTTGGTTTCCACATGCCGAGTAATAACTGGCTTCTCCAGAGCTTAATTTGTAATGAAAGAGATGTGAAATGAATTTGTAATGAAAGAAGCTCAAGCAATTAGGTGCTGGGGCTCAAGCATTTTTTTTACTTTCATAACTGACACAGTAAGCCCAGAGGTGCCAGGGCTACGAACGCCAAGCTTAGAGGTGCAGGGGCTCTGCTCTGGCAAGCCTTGGTACTAATTAAGCACTGGGCTTCTCCATTTGATAGGACTGGAAATCAGAGACTTTCAGTGGTGGCTTTAGGAACATCCTAAGGGCCTGATTCCCCAATGCCGTGCACCTTGCGGCATCATTAACACCAGAGCAAAGTGGGCATAAAACGTCAAATTAGGCTTGTTCTGTGTGCCTTACTTTGCACTGGGTGTGAGTGACAGCACCAGGGGTGGGCCAGCAGTGAGTCAGGCCCTGAGGAGATCACTTCTGTCTTGTGGGAAGGCATGTGACTGGGCCTCAAGACCCCTATACCTGGCTTTGTCACACCTTCCTGCACATGGTACACTGTGATCTAGTTGACCCCCCTCCACAACCTCACTGCGAGTTTGCAGGAGCAGGGGTCCCTCAGGAGACATCCCAGCAGCAGGCCCCGCCTGATGCCGTAGAGCAGGACACAGAGATTTGAGTTGCCACCTCAAAGCCCTGGAAACCAGCGACTTTCCAAATGGCTACACACTCAGGGGCACATTTCCGAAGTGCCTCAGTGACTTAGAAACCCAAGTCCCATTTTCAGAAGTGACTTGGGCACTTTGGGCCAGATTGCCAAAGGGATTTAGGTGCCTAAAGCTGTAGGTAGGTGCCTAGTGGGATTTTCAAAAGCACATAGGCAGGTTAGGAGACTAACTCCGATTGGCTGCAGTGGGTAACTAGATACCTCAGCACTTGGAAACTCCACTTGCATTGTTAGGCACCTAAATACCTTTACAAATCTGCCACCTTTACAAAGTCTCACTGAAAGTGGCTCTTTGGCTCCTAAGCCACAGACCTCAGAGGTATGTAGGTGCCTGACTCCCATTGAAATCAGTGGGAGTTAGACACCCAAATCCCTTTGTGGATTTTGGCCTCAAGTGCCTAAATCATTTTTAAAAAAGGCTTCTAACTCACTTAGGTGATTTTGAAATGTTTACCCTGAATCCTCTAAATGCAAAATGAAGTGTTTAATTTCACAGCTGTGTTAAACTGACCAGTTCAGGCTCTAAAACATTAGAAGGCCCCACTGTAGTTTC